GTTCCGCTCCATACCTACAAGTCACCAGTCATGTTTCTTCTTCTGACGTTTCTCAATATGTTCACTGACCTGCTTCACCTGAGACAGAAGATGTGTCTGCCTCGGCTGATTTATTGATGGAGAGAGTTTCTCTATTCTGTACGGTTTACTCCTCACCTCTCTACCCTGTTGGATCGGCCCAGCAGGAGTAGAGGGTTACTATCAGGGCTGCAGGTAACTTTGAAAAACTGTTGATGGCTTGATAATGTACCGACAAACAAGCTCATGAGGCGACTGTGGCTCAGTGGTAGAGCAGGGTCGTCCTTCAATCATTACATTACATTAGTCATTTAGCAGACGCTTTTATCCAATGCGACTTACAATTCACATTCACACACCGTAGGCTCAGCTATGGGAGCAATGTTGGGGTTAAGTGTCTTGCTCAAGGACACATCGTCATGCGACCAGCGGAGCCGGGGATTGAACCTGATTGAAGGACGGTCCTGCTCTCCACTTAGCCACAGTCGCTCCCAATCAGAGGATCGCAGTCTCCGGCTCCGCTAGTCCATGTCCATGTGTCCTTGGGCAAGACACTTCAACCTGTTGCTCCTGTAGCTGTGTCTATGGTGTGTGAATGTTGTAGGAATGTTATGTTGGTGGCACCTTGCATGGTAGTCCTGTCATCAGGGTGTGAATGGGTGAATGACGACATGTAGTGTTGAAGCGCTTTGAGTGGTCAGAAGACTAGAAAAGAGAAATACAAGTACAGACAGAGATAAAGCTGTTTATAACCACCGTCTCTCTAGTGATGGAAGGCCCACTCCACTCCCCAACATATGCACAGGTGGTTGAGCTATCCTAACACAGCATATGCATTTTTTAATTTTAGGTAAAATTGTCCCATGATTCTCAAGAAAAAAATCAGATTTTAAAAGGAACATTAAAAAAAGAGAAATAATAATATATGTCTTAATTGTAGAATGAACAGGCACGTGCACAGAGGCGCTCTGCTTCTGACCTCAGAAGTGCCCCTTCTGTAAGCCATTTGTTGTTTTTAAATGTGCTCTATAAATAAACATCTTCCTCAGCTGTGCTCTGTGCTTAATGCTAATTCATGTTAGCATGCTCATGTGAGCATTGAGCTCAAGGCGCTGCAGTGCTTGTCGTGCAGCTGAACAGAGCCACTAGAATGCTCTTAGTCCTGTTGGTACAATAGACTGGAGGAGACATGTTAACATTCAAAGGGGGACAGAACAGAAGATGCACTCTTCATGCTGATCAGAGGTCACTCCTCCATTATGTGGCTCAGAGCTAGAGCGGGTCATCCACTAAGTTCGGCGGTTCGATTCCCGGCTCTTCTAATGCGTGTTTCTAAGTGTCTTTGGCCAAGTTGCTCCTGAAGGCGGTCCATCAGATCCTCATGTGCAGGTGGCACCTTGTATGGCATCTTCTGTCATCAGTGTGTGCCTGGGTGTGAATGATGACATGTAGTGTTAAAGAGCTTTGAGCGGTCAGATGACTCGTCTCATCATCCCACTTTGTCCAGCTGTTGAGGTTGTTCAAACTGTTCTATGCTGTTCCTACAGTGAACAGCTGAACTAACGTGATTTCAGACACTAAAACCCCAAACAAGGAAACCTGCACACAGGTACCTTCAGCTGCTCTCCCCCCCCTCACACCCTCACACATTAAAAAGCAGAAAGGACATTCACTGTTGTCCTGGTAACGTCAGTTAAACATGACAGCCCTGACATATTAGCAGCAAACACACACAGCAGGATGAGTCATGTGCTTTCAGACTGAACATGTGTCTCTCTTCATGTGTACACATGTAACAGCTGGCCTGTTTGTGCAGTCTGTGTTTATCCACGATGTATCATGTACATCAGCTGCTGCTGGCTATGGCCTGTGCAGTGAAGCTGCTCGGTATACGTCATGTGTCTCTGACCCGTTCAGGCCCAGCAGGACACAGTGAACTCACTGATAATCACAATAATCACAACCAGTATCTGGGACTGACGGATTAAATGCTCTTGCTGCAACATATTTGTCATTTTATTTCATGTTTGTGATACAAGATCACATCATTTCGGACTCAACTCACATTATATCACATTTGATCTGTGTAATGTTTTGTGAGTAAAACGTTTTCAGAGTAGGCATAATAACATATAACATGAAACCAGACTCACTACATTGAAAAGATATTTAACTTATGAGCAACTCAGTCGCTTTTGTTATTCTCCTTTAGTCTTCTTTCTTTTCTTGTTTCTATACTGGGGGGGGGGGGGTTGAAGAGACTTGAGAATCGATTCACTCATTTAATAAAGTTCTCATCACACTTTACAGTCTGTATTTAAACTCTGCTGTGATTATTATTGTCTTTAATGGTTTCCCCACATTATAAAGTAAAGACAAACTCTAAAAAGGGGCTGAAGGCACATCTACTCTTTCCACCATTATTAAGGGATTCTGGATCTTCAGCACCAGTGGAATGTTGTGTCTAAGACACAGCATTCCCTCTCTATATGTGTCAGGAAGGTGGTAGGTGGTGTCTTTGAATCTCAGAATTTAGGGACATGCACAGCCATCTCCTCCTTCAGTAGAGGGATCTAGTGACAACCTGTGCACTGATATCAGTCAGTGTAGTCTAGCTCACACATGTTAGGGGACATGAATACAAGAAAAACACAGTTTGGATTGGAAAGGATCTTTAAGCTGAAATGCCAATCTTTATCTGCTTATGGGGATATTCTGCTTTTCTGTTTCATATCATTGTAAACTGAATATCTTTGAAGATACCACCATGTATTTTTCAGGATTTTATAGCTGATTAATAAAAAGAACTCAACGTATTATTGATGTAAAATAACGAGTTGCAGCAGCCTTAGATGACTGTAACACCGGCTGTGCTGCTTGCTTCTGGTTTTCATCCTTGAAAAAGGCAGCTCTTTAAACAATGCTATCCACTACATGTTAATGTGTAATATATTTGATGTGACATTGGGCCAAAAGGAATTTTAGAAGAGGTTTTTAAGAGGTGGTAATTGAGCTCACCATTTTCACTCATTTAATGGCAGCTTTAGCGGACTCTGCAAGAGCTCTTCCTTGGAAAATATGGAGAATGAAAAATAAAAGCCCTCCTGTTGGGATGCAGCTCTACAGTGAGTGTGTTTGTGTCCGTGGATGTGAGAATCGTCCTGTACTATATCTGTCCCCCACACACACACACCCATGTCCTCCCTGCTCTCCATGTACATTCTAACAGCAACGTCTCAACTAATGTGTTTTCACTCTCGATGTCCCCTTTACCTGCCGCTTCCTCCTACTGCTGAACGCTGGCTCTGGCCTTCTTGTCTTAATGCACCACATGTGCTCCATCAACTGCAGCACTGATACCTAAGTGCATAGCAGTCTTTTAAAGGCCCATACTCATTACATGAGACCAACCCTGAGCCCCCAAGTGCAACTTTCATTGATGGAACAGCTTCTCAAGAGCTTGCCTTTTACCGCCATCTTCAATAAATGGAGAGAGAAAAACACACCATTACTTGTCCCGAATACCAGACTATTGTGGTCGCCGAACACTGCACTGTAAATCTCTCCAACACTCTGTGCTTACTCTCATCTTCTAACTGCATCAGTGGATTGGTGACGCCTGGTGGTCTGCATGATGAAGTCAGAATATTTTAGAAACAGCAGATCTTCTCAGAAGTTGACTTCCCATCGCACCCGAGAGGCTATTCTCACACTTTCTGCATTTCAGATGTAAAGGATAAGGAAAAAGAGGGAAAACCAACAACAACTTACAGCAGCCACCCCAAAATATTCTCATATGAAAGCACATATCAGAGGAATATGCATCTCTAATTCCTCTCTGTTTACCCTCGACTCAGTGACCAAAACAGATACGTTTTAATAAGCACAAATGTATCCAAACACGACAAGCAGCTTTTTATCATCAATGTGCTATAACTGTGCTTGGCATGGCCATGAAGATATTTACCATTTGGAAGGTGCAGGGGAGTTGTTTCACAGGGAGGGTTTCCTCAAGGCTCTTCATCTGCATAGTGAACCTGAACCTCTGATGACCCAACACTGCTCAGAGTGAGCATTGCAAATAACACCACAAATACTAAATACATGGGTTTTTATTTTCCATCTTCTAAATGAGAGCAGCTTGAATGTTTAAGCATTCAAGTTAATTCTTGACCAAACAATCCCAACTCAAGGTCCTCTTACTAACTTTAACCATATTACATGGTTTTCAATGGCAGATCAACTTAAACTTCATTACAATTGTCATATACAATCAAGTACATACATACATTTTTGATTTCAAGAGCCAAAGATCAAACTGCCAATGTTTTTGTTAAAGGATAACCCGCTCTACACACTGACCCACTTCACCATGTGGGCTCCATCTGCTGATAAAGACTGTGCGATAGGGTAGAACGCTCCGGGAAAGACACTGAGTCTTTGAGTTGGGCTTGTCAAAGTATTTCAAGTGTTTGAGGTTCTCATAACACCTGTTGGATCCTGGAGTTAAACCTCGATACAGCACTATAAAATAAACCAGCTCTCCGTTTAATCACCAATCGTGTTGGGTTTTTACCCACCTGACGGGATACCCGGTGATCTGTTTAAGCTGGTGGTCGAGGAAACTCGCCTGGCTCTCTCACTGCCGTCCCTCCTGACGTCTACCCTCCTTCCTCTGGCAACTGCACACGGCAGAGACGCCCTCTTGGCCGAATGCAGCTATCAGTCGCGTCAGTTAATAGAAGCTTTCCTCTAATGGATCTAGGCTCTTGGTAAGGTGCTAGGATAGGTTTTGATAGCTAGGAATAGGCTCTGAGGGTCTGTTTAGTGGACTTAGAACTAGAATAACCATTCAGAGCTCTGTTGATGTTAGGCACACAGGAATACTTGTTACAGCCATGAGTACTCTTTACTACTTTACTGCTACTTGCTTTATATGCAGTTTAGATATTTAGGGTTAGGATAATTAGCAAGGGCAAAGCAACAGCTCAAATATTTCCTTTACTTGATTTCATTACAGTCTGATCATTACATTCATTTGTTACCGAGGCGAGGCTGGGTGAAAGTCCTTTTTGAAGAATACATCCTTCGTGGTGTAGGAGGAGATGACTTGCCAGGTCTTTGCATGACACCTGCCTCCTGATGCCAGGATGAGGAAATTCCTTCTGCGATCATCTTGACTCCTTACAGAGCCACAGAAAACAGTGTCCTTCTTCTCCTGCTTACGCAGGGGGGACGTGAGAATCTCCGTCAGCCAATTCCTGCCCACGATCGGTGTCCTCTTAGCTGTGAGCAGAGACAAAGTCCTCCGATGCTTGTCCTGGACCATTTCCTCAGCTGAGGGCCAAACGGTGTCCCACGCCCAATCCCAACTCGATGATCCGAGTCTTGTCTTTTTACTGTCCAGTTGAGCCGTCCTCTTTCCCACACTCCTCACCCAGCTGCTCATGATCTCATGCATGGCCTCAACAGAATACACTTCCTTATTTCCTCATTTCAGGTCATGTTACTCATATGAGGACAAATTCAACATTTTTCTGTCTTTTAGTGCCTCTTGTTAATAGAAACATAATTACAATCACATTATGGTTATTAGATCACAAAACATACATGCATGAATCAACTCTAAGGTTAAACTAAATGTCTACTCATATAAGCTCTGTGTTCTTTGGCGTGATCTTTATAGTCTAATCTTTGTGCCTTTTACTCAGGGCAGCTCTTCTGGGATCTCAACTCTACTTGACATACTTCCACTACAGTCAAATTCAAAACCATTCTATTGCTGACTCCAAGTCAGTAATGAACGGACATGACACTCCTTTTACTATTTAAATACTTCATTTTACCCTCAAAGAAAAAGGAAGTATTTGTTTGGCTTCAGATTGAAATAAATATGTTCTGCCTACAAAGAACATTTCTCAAAGATAACTACAGAGCAAGAGTACTAGTTGGTATGACCAAGAGCATCCGACAGTGAGTGAACATTTTACATCATGTAATGATTTTAAGCAGAAATAGGACAATGATACTTTAATTGAGTAATCCAGAACCATGTGTTGAATATAGTATGATGTGTTAAATTAAAGCAGTCCTCAATTATGTGACTCAAACAAAGCTTAAGCATGTCATGTGATATACTTCAGTAAACTGAAGGAGACAAATATTACCGAGACTGCTACAGAAAATTGCAAATGAGCATTTAATATGCAGGGATTGACATTATCCACACCGCTGACTGTCTGTGTACCAACACTAACCAAACACATCCAGCCAGGCTAGCTGTGCACCAGGTGCTGCTTTTACATTGAGCTGAAGGTTTGAGACTGGAACAAAGTCTCTTTCATGTTGCCTCAGAGCATGGTGTTACACTCAGTCTTACTAAAGAAAGATGAAATGGTTGTGTGAAGAATGACAACAATAGCTTGAACTGTCTGTGACCTCCATGCTACATCTGCTGTGCCAGCTTCCTCAGCACCAAATATCCAGCTTTAGTCCTCAGAACCAGTGTCACTTAGAGGAGCTTGTATTTTGGTAGTATGGCAACTGAAAATATAATACAAAGAGAGAACAACTTTCAAGTGCAGGAAAACGCCTAAAAGGATTTCCCCACAATGAATAAAGAATATCTCTTTAACCATAAGGCTTATACTTATAACAGTGATATACTGAGGCGGCTTTACTTTTTACTTGTTGACTGTTAACGAGTATTACTTTAAAACACTCTACACATGTATTTATTTATTTCCATTTCCAAAACATGGAATAGGAATTAATGCATTTAATATTGACCAATAGAGTGGTGCAGGAATAAGTCCTGAAACCCAGAAATGAGTTAGCAAACTCCAGTTCCCTCGTCTTCAAGTCATTGTGTCAGTGGTGAACACAAGCAGTGTTTCCCCTAGCTTTACGGGGGGGCACAAACACCTAAAGGGATCATGGTGTTCTTTCAGTGGTGGGCCATCAGGGCCTGCAAAGCCTTCTCTGCTGGCCTAAACAGAATCACAAAGCTACATCTATTTTATCATTTAATATTTTTTCTTAAATACACTACATGTATTATAATTTGAACTAAACATCGGACAACTGTGGGCTCAAATGACGCAAGGACAGTGCTGCCTGAAATGACATGCATCATCAGCATTGAAGAGCCAAACATGTTATTGATCAAATCATAATAGAATAAACCATTTTTACCAGCTGTCAAACTTGGCTGGCACTGACAGGCTATTCTGTGATGCTCAGACGCCATGTCTGTCAAGTTTGTCCTTTCTGTAGGACTGGCAGAGAGACTATAAATGACCGGGTCTGGTTTCTGACAACATACAACGGTTTATGCTGTCTACATATTCGACAGAACATTCCTGAAAACTGAAATAATCCCCTATTCATTCTCTATATCTATCTATGCATTTACTTACCAAGATCAGTCTTGTACAGCCAGGGGGAGTATTTCCGTGCAGCGTGCAGCACTCTGGCTCTTGTCTACTTGCACCCGGAGCAGGAGAGCTACTCCGGCTACTACTTGGAGGAGAGCGAGTGTTGCATCTTCACCACATGGGAGCGTTTAAAAAACGCATATATTGTTGTCTGCTTTTCAGGTGGTTGACGCAGCATATTTTCCGACGCGCGCTCTCTGTCCGCTGGTGTGAGCGTGCTCACCTGTGTGTGCGCGCACGTGTCTGTGTGAGCGCGCATAGGGGCGGAACTCCGCCGTGCGCGATACAGAGAGCAGAGGAGAATTGTACGCTCGTGACCATGTAGAGACAGAAATGACATGCCGTCGTGTAAATAAGATAAATAACATAAGACTGTTTAGTTTGTTTAATAACAGAACACGGTGTAGACCTGTTCTATAGGAAAGGGAACCTTAAATGACTTCTGTTGTGATCTGGCGCTGTCACGGGACATAATGAGGACTCAAATGCAGACAGTCAGAGTAGTGAACAAAAGGGTTTTAATAACTCACGAAACAAAAACAGGTAATCCAAGGACGAGACAAGGGGGGAAATCCGGCAGGACAAGGCAGGGCAAAAACAGGGCAGACAGACTGGGAAACCGGGAACAGGAGGAGCAAACCGGGAGGGTAGGTAGGAAACAAAGCAATGATCTGGCAGTGAGTGAGTGAACGACAGGGGTTTAAATAGTGACTAGAACAGGTGAGGAGAGTTGTGCTGATGAGGGAGAGTGTGACTGGCAGGTGCACTGAATGAACTGATTAGGGACAGGTGAAGGAAGTGAGGAGCTACAGAAAACCACACAAAACACCCAAGGCAAAGCCTGATTGTGACAGGCACTATATAGAAAACAAAATTAAACAAAATTAACTTGACCTTCAAAGGGGGGGGGGCGCAAACAGGGGGAACACTGACAAGCTTACGATATTGAAATATTTTGCTCTCCGGTATAAATACGTCAGTAGACACCCTCCTCGTGACTTTCAACGCTTTTAAGTGTCTTTAGGAAGGCAGTTACTGAAAAATGTCTAAATGAGACTACTGAAGGTCATCACCGCTACTAGTCCGCCTCCACAGCTGCGCTGTGTTTACTCGTGATCATGTGACCGTGGTGTAGTTCCTTTATCACCTAACATTAGCTTTTTACTGCTGGCGACTTCCATTCACTGAAAAATCTTAATAGTGTTGTTTATTTGTGAAGATTATCTTGCTGATCAAAATAGGTAAATATCATAAACATTTGTTTGCCACAGAGATTATTTTCTGCAATAATCCAAAATCCAATGGAAGAATCCCATTGGATCCCACAGTGCTACGGTATCCACACATTTGTATGAATGGGAGCGAAAAAGTAATGTGTACTTTTTTTGGTGTCTTTCACCTTCTGGTGGTTGTTTTGAAGCTTTAGGAGCCAGCTGTTGAAAATGATCCTTTTGACCTCAGCTTGTCTTACATTTACAAAGTTTAAATTAGTACAACTTTATTTTTTAAATACTTCATAAAAAGACATAGTTTGGACAAAATACAATTGGTTCACAGATTCTGAAAGCTGATGGCCTCATGTTATAGGTTATGTCGTGGGTTGCCCCTGCTATTGGGGTGCTCGTTCTCTGAAGGTTAAAAAAGTTTAAGATGTCCACAACAAAACAATTAAAAGGTAATGTCAAGCACCCAAGCTAACTCGGGTATTAATGAGTCTGATGAAACTAAGCTTGACATGGCCTGCTTGGTCTTGGTATCGTGTGGGTCCCAAACTGGAGTCTAGAATTGCTCCCCAAATAAATGCTGCTTATAGCAAGTCAGCAGAATGAGATGATAGAACTGTTCTCAGAAGGGATCGCTTTGATCACAGTCAAAGTATTCTCTGAATTTTACTCTGAGCAAACTGAAAAAGCCTTTGAAACTGTATCAGACTGTAAAACACTCCAACAAAAGTCACTTCAAAGAATGGTAATGTTCAGCCTTCAGTCTCTGTGATCTAACAAGTTGTGTAGAGGCAGTGGGTTACCTCTTTTTCTTGTTGAAATGTTTCAGCTCGGAGCAAACAGTATACATGTTTAATGATAGATACATTCTTTGAATTTTATAAGCTTCACACCTACGACATTTTTTTCTAGAAATAGCTAAGTGACAGACAAATGGTGCAACATAAAGATGCTTGCTTTAGCTGGAAGAGTCCAACGGCTCTAAGATGTAGACCTTCATTTCACAGCTGGAAAGGATTTTCACTGCAGAAACAACTGAAGGCACTTATGCAGGACAGAAATCGGGAGAAATGGTATCAAAGCATATTCATCGCCGAGAAAAGTGTGTCTCTCCTGCTGGAACCTTTGAGAAGATGTTTGAGAGAAGAAAGGTTTCCCGCTTCAACAGTCAACAGAAGCTGTACAGCACAAAACAGCCAAATCTTTACACCTGAGCTGCAATTTTAATCTCCTATAATCCTCTTTGTATGTAAATGAAGTTTAATGATACACATAGAGGACGGCATAACTTAACTCTAGACTGCTTGTAATTAGTTTGCATGGACTCAAACACAAATCCTGTTTCTGGCAGTAAGGTACAACATGCTCTTGCATTTACAACAGAGCAACTTTGTCATGGTACGGAGCCAAGGCGCTCGCTAGCTGTCCCCCCTGATCGGTGTGCAGCCAACACTCATGGATGTATTGTGAAGACTTTAGTGACCCTTTGTTACAATCCCACTGTCAGGTCCATATTACCCTTTAAGCACATTTGTCTTTGACAAGGTAATGTATCCTGAGAGTACTGGTCAGATTACTGTTTTCTGATCTGCCTATTAACCTGTAATAGCATGTTTTGTTTTTTGGTTAGTTTCTTGTTATGTGGGGGCAAACAAAAAAGTAGTGGACACAACATAGTCGTGTCTACAAGGTACCCAACAAGTTGCGAAACTCTCACAAGATTAGGCATTGACCACTAATAGTTAAAGTTAGGCATTGACCACTAATAGTTAAAGTTAGGCATTGACCACTAATAGTTAAGGTTAAGCATTGACCACTAATAGTTAAAGTTAGGCATTGACCACTGATAATTAAGGTTAGGCATTGACCACTAATAGTTAAGGTTAAGCATTGACCACTAATAGGTAAGGTTAGTCATTGACCACTAATAGTTAAAGTTAGGCATTGACCACTAATAGGTAAAGTTAGGCATTGACTACTAATAGTTAAGGTTAGTCATTGACCACTAATAGTTAAAGTTGGGCATTGACCACTAATAGTTAAAGTTAGGCATTGACCACTAATAGTTAAGGTTAAGCATTGACCACTAATAGTTAAAGTTCGGTAATGACCACTAATAGTTAAAGTTAGGCATTGACCACTAATAGTTATGGTTAAGTATTGACCACTAATATTTAAGGTTAGGCATTGACCACTAATAGTTAAGGTTAGTTATTGACCACTAATAGTTAAAGTTAGGCATTGACCACTAATAGTTAAAGTTAGGCATTGACCACTAATGGTTAAGGTTAAGCATTAAACATTAATAGTTAAAGTTAGGCATTGACCTCTAATAGTTAAGGTTAAGCATTGCCCACTAATAGTTAAAGTTAGGCATTGACCATTACTAGTTAAAGTTAGGCATTGGCCACTAATAGTTAAGGTTAGGCATTGACTACTAATAGTTAAGGTTAGTCATTGACCACTAATAGTTAAAGTTAGGCATTGACCACTAATAGTTAAAGTTAGGCATAGACCATTAATAGTTAAAGTTAGGCATTGACCATTAATAATTAAATTTAGGCATTGACCACTAATAGTTAAGGTTATGCATTGACCACTAATAGTTAAAGTTAGGCATTGACTACTAATAGTTAAAGTTAGGCATTGACCACTAATAGTTAAGGTTATGCATTGACTACTAATAGTTAAGGTTAGTCATTGACCATTAATAGTTAAAGTTAGGCATTGACCTCGATGCCATCATTTGCATTGCTGAGATCCAGTTTGCTCAGCAATACAGTTCACTCTCAACTCAAAACAACAGCTTGGCTGTAATGAGGCTACTAACTGGATGATTCACATTACATTTACATGATGGAGCAGGCTCCCTAATCCAAGAACACGTCTAGGTCTATACCTCATTTTCATTCTTATTTGGAGCCAATATACAATAAAAAAAAAAATTTTAATATTTCATTTTGTAATACCATGATATAATACCGTCACTGCAAAAAAAAATGAAATACTCTGATATACATTTTAGATCATATCACCCATCCCTAGCACAGAGTCTGCCTTCTCTTATCCCACCAGAGTCCTGCACTCTGTCCTTCAGTTTGCCCAACAAGTGCGGCTTGATGCTGGACTTCATGGTTGAGCCAGGTCTCAGTAGAGATATGGGCACAGCAGCCACCAATGTTGCTGGGTTTGCCTGAAGTCTATTTCATCCATCTTTTTTTCCTGCGACTGGACATTAGCCTGAAGCATGCTGGGTAGTGGAATAGCTTAAGGTCCTTTGTGGGTTAGCTTTGCTCTCCAGTGCCATCATCAGGCAAAAACTGCTACATATATTCAGATTCTAGCACACATTTGTGCTTTTACTATATTCCTCATGTACCGTTAGTGACAGAGACCAAAGTGCAACAGTCCTGCAACATCAAATGCATTACCATATGTACTCAAAGTATACAGTATATGAAGCTTCACAAGTGAAGCAATGCAATTGCGGTGAAGCAATGCAACAGCAGATGAATTAGATACATGTAGATAAATTGACAAACCTTGTGTGTTGCCCATGAGGGCAGTGGCAGTGCAGCAGTGTACAGAATTCAGAATCCTCTTTCTGACAGCTGACAGGACATGCTTGGTCCTGCTGCCTTCACCGGGCAGCCTTGTGGGGTTTTCTTGTAGGAATCCACTTCACGTTGACACATCTGTCTGATAACACCAGCACAATGGTGGTGCAGCCAGAGCAGGAGAGAGAAAGAGAGGGAGGAAGGGAGGGCTGTTTAGCAGCACTCGCACAAGCAGAGCTGCCTTCACCCGGAGCAAAGCCCATGGAAGAGACAGCCGTGCTCCTCCTGCTCTGCCTGCCTCCTTAACTCCTGCTACAATTCCTCTGGTGAGTCAACAAGCTGTGGACTTTAACGCGGTTGTGTTTTGTTACGATATGTGCAGTGTGCATATTCTCCTGGAACGCAGAGACTGTGAGATTTGCCGTACAGTAAGGCATATGCTGAGAGGTTATTTATTGGCAGTGTAGGTTGTGATGCAATATTCACACATGCTGTTGCCAAGGCTTTCTTTCAAAATAAGAGCAAAATGAAATGAGCTGCTTCCCCGTGGCTCTGAGCGGTGTGTGTGCTGTTTCAGCTGGCTGATTCAGAGGTGCCATTTCCTCAGCAGCTCCTGTCATCACTGCTCGCTGGACGCTTGTGTTTATGAAGAAGCAGTCAATGAGGAGCCACATCAGATCCAGATGCTTGGTTGACTTGGAGCATTGCCTCGTTTATCAGTTGTAACTCATGATGAATTTGAGGTTTCACTCATTTCATTCATATATGGAGGCAAAATATGCAACATCATATTTCTTGGTGTAGAAAATTGCAAGACAGTCTCTAATTCTATTTTCTTTTTGTTAGTTGAAGAAAATCTATTATCTATGTATCAGGGATAATAGTCCCAATGTATGTTCTATTTAAAAGAGGTGGATCATTTATTTCCATAACGATTGGGCTTGGGTTTGTCTATTAGACATTTTGAATTACTATATTATTGAATATCTATTAGCAGGTAGAAAGTCACCAAGTCTATATATGTTCTATATATTAGGAGAGGGAAATCAAAATGTCTTTCTTTTATCTCTTAGTTACCTTTAGTTATGTTGTATCAGTAGTTCAATATCCATTTATTTTGTATTAATTAGTCTGTGTCTGTTAAACAAAATGTGTCCGTTGTCTATTAGATAGGCAGTTGTGATTTTCTACCACTGATTGATAGGAGAAGAGATGTACCTACCTTCATATACACATACCTGGTTACCTATTCAGAGCCAAGACTTTGCTGCCATCTCCAGCTGGCAGTTGAAGTCCTGCAGCAGCAGCAGCATGATGTTGACAGTCACATCAGACGGCTCGGTTGATAGATCAACCGTGTGGACGGCTTCATCATAGTCCTATGGCTGTGAGGACGGGGAGTGAAGAATGGAGACGTTAGAGCTGGTGGATACTGTGGAAGCCGGACAAAGCTTTGCCAATTATACACAGCCAGAGAAAAGCCTCTCCATCACAGCAACCTAATAATGTTCTGTTTCTGTTGTGTCTCTATGAAGCTGGCTATGAAAACAGTCCAGTTTCTGGTAAACAAGGTGATGGGAACTGACTCGGGCACAAGTCCTGACATGAAGAGGAAATTCTGAATGGAGCATGACCAACAGCAAACTACTTATTTTTGATCTCTCTTTGAAACCAGACTTTAATGCAAATTGAGTGGAAAGCTCAATTTTCACTGTGGCTTAATTTAGCGATGCAGTGCAGTTAGTTCCTATCCCGCCGGTTTGTCTGACCTGTTTGTGTCACTGCTTGTTTGTGCATCTAAGTCCACACAGCTCTGCCCTTTATGTGCAAGCTAAAGCATGAAGTAGTAATGTATAGATCCTCACATCTCATGAGTGCCTTTTGTCTTCACGTCTCTTGTCCTTACTCCCAGGAGGAATCAATATATCACTGTCAACTTAAGTGTAACTGGTACAAACAAATGAGACCATGGGCAAGATAACTGGCAGACCTTCTTTTTGTTACGTTCTGTCAGTAATGACCTAATTGTGCTCACCAAGGTCATTTCTAACATCTGGGAACATGGCGACATTCCTGGAAAGAACTTACCTGGAAGGTAAAAAAATGACCCAAACCGTCCGTTGTATTGCTGCATTTGTGTCGTATCTCACACACCGTCAGAATAGCTGTGGATTTCCTCTGCAGTGAGAGATTAGCACCAACATTTCAGGTAGATAAACTGGATACATTGATGGTTTGTTCGCTCTTGTTTCTGCATTAGACGTCATTGCAATGCACTGTGTTCCCAGATCTCAGTATGACTCAGCATGACTACAATGTGTGATAATACCTGATGAAATCATGTAGGCTTTAGCGTGCTCATCAACGCTGGTGTTGTTTTCACCTCGTGAGTCTGTGTGAGGCATCATGCTAACGTGGTCCTGGAGACACCTGCTGTATGGGAACTACCACGGAGGAGGTTTAGAGTACTTCTACAGTCCGTCAGTCTGTCTGTCTGTGCAAGAATTCTGAAGGCAAAGTGTGACGATGGTTGTGTTACCAGCAAGGACGTAACACACACACTTTATACTTCTTTATGCTCCTGTACTAGTTTTCTGTTTATTTTATTTTATTTATTTGTTTATTTTTCAGGGACAATGCTCACCAATCAACAGTCACACTGTAAGTGAGCCAGAGTTAGCCAGAGTTAGCCAGAGTGGGTAGTTTTCATCTGCTGTCCCCAGCCAGATGTTTGAAGGCAGCCTAAAATTACAAAATATCAAATAAAAATGGAATTAAAATTCATAGATAAACAGACAGTAACGTATAGACAAAACCAATACACATATAAGCGAAAGAAAAGTGTACATAAGACACTAGAGCAGAGCAGACATAACAGGCTGCAGCATGCGTCAGCCAGAACCAACCCACCTACCGTACAAGCACATATATAACACTGAGGCACATAACAGACACATCAAAATGGAAAATAGCAACACTGAACAAGACAAATGCACATATAGGCGAAACAAGCAGCCAGGACAGAGAGCACATCAATGCTTGCACACCTGATTGGCAACAAGCCATTCCTTAAAGTTATGCTTGCATGTTTTGTACGTGTTTTGTGTGCGTATGTGTGGTGGCAGAGCATTCCACGAGTGAGCTGCCTTCACAGAGAATGTAGATTTACTGAACAAGCTTGACCTTTGTGAAATAACACAATCACCTCTTGAAGCAGATCTAGTGAGTCTGCTGCTTTGAGTGCTATGTTTAATAAAATCACTAAGTGGAGGCGGGGCCATACCATGGACAATTTTAAAAACCAGACACACATCAGTGAGTTTAATGAGGTTCTCCCAACTCAATATATGGTGTTTGATGAGGAAATTGCAGTGATGGTGACTTTTGGAAATTCATGAGATTAAATTTTAAGACCTATGTCACATGTTTTATCTGCTTTTTAAAAGAGAGATTAGAATCAATAAAAATTCCTAAATATTTAAAATCTGACAGTAGAGCCTCTCACCAGCCTCTCACCGGCAACATAAACATCTGGATCCGGTGACACTTTGCAAGCCCTCTTTGTGAAGAACATACAAACTGTCATTCAGGTGGAAGGCAGGAATCTGCAAGCCATTTAGTTACATTTGTCATTGTGGATGTGAGTTTAAGTGCAGCTTGTTCTTTGTTTTTTGCGTGCACATAAATCACTGTATCGTCAGCGTACATTTGAATATCACACCCATTGCAGACACCCGGCAAATCATGAATGTATAAACTGAATAGTAAAGGCTCCTCCGCGAATCGCCACCTTAACGTAGTGGAGGAGTTTGAGTGGCTCAGTGATCCTGGGAGCTATGTTGTCCGGGGCATTAGCCCCTGGTAGGGTCTCCCAAGGCAAAAAAAACGACCCTTATGATAAGCAGCCCATGGACTTCAGCCACCTCGCCCGGACCAGGGAAACCGGGGCACCCTCCCGGAGCCAGACCCAGGAGGGGAGCTCGTAGGCGAGCGTCTGGTGGCCGGGCCGTCACCCATGGGGCCAGGTCGGGCTTAGCCTGAAGAAACAACATGGAGCAGCCACCCTGTGGACCCACCACCCGCAGGGACAAGCATCGGGGTCGGCTGCAATGCAGACCGGGCGGCAGGTCAGGCGGGAGGCCTGGACATGCCGATCGCCGGCGGAATAGACTAGCTCTAGGGACGTGGAACGTCACCTCGCTAGCGGGGAAAGAGCCAGAGCTGGTGCAGGAGGTGGAGTGATACCAGCTAGATATAGTTGGACTCACCCCCACACACAGCGCTGGCTCTGGAACCAAGCTCCTGGAGAGGGGTTGAACTTTGTCCTTTTCCGGAGTTGCCCAGGGTGAGAGGCGCCGGGCGGGAGTGGGGATACTCACGAGCCCCCAGCTGAGCGCCACTGTGTTGGAGTTCTCCCCGGAGAACGAGAGGGTCGCCTCCATGCGCCTATGGGTTGCGGGGAGCAAAGCTCTGACTGTGGTTTGTGCTTATGCACCAAACAGCAATTCGGAGTATCCGGCCTTCTTGGAGTCGGTGGGAGGGGTCCTGGCAAGGGCGCCGCCTACCGACTCCATAGTTCTCCGTGACTTCAACGCTCATGTGGGCAATGACGGAGAAACCTGGCGGGGGTGATTGGGAGGAACGGCTTGCCCGATCTGAACCCGAATGGTGTCTCGTTATTGGACTTCAGTGCTTGCCACGGTTTGGCCATAACGAACACCACGTTCGAACATAAGGTGGCTCATAAGTGTACCTGGTACCAGAACACCTTAGGCCGGAGATCAATGATCGACTTTGTAATCGTATCATTTGATTTGCGCCCGTATGTCTTGGACACTCAGGTGAAGAGAGGAGCAGAGCTGTCAACTGATCACCACCTGGTGGCGAGTTGGATCAGACGGCAGGGGAACCGGTTGGAAAGACCCAGCAAGCCCAAACGTGTAGTGAGGGTGAACTGGGAACGTCTGGCGGAGGACCCTGTCTGGGAGGTCTTTATCTCCCACCTCCGGAAGAACTTCTCACACATCCCAAGGGAGGTTGGGGACACGGAATCCGAATAGACCATGTTCAAAGCCTCTATTGTGGACGCGGCCGCTAGGAGCTGTGGCCGGAAGGTCATCGGTGCCTGTCGTGGCGGCAACCTGAGAACCCGGTGGTGGACACCAGAGGTGAGGGAAGCCATCAAGCTGAAGGAGACCTTCAAGGCCTGGTTGGCCCAGGGGTCTCCTGAAGCAGCTGACAGGTACCGGCAGGCCAGAAGGGCTGCAGCTGCGGTGGTCACGAATGCTAAAACTCAGGCATGGGAGGAGTTCGGCGAGGCCATGGA